GGATTATTTGGATGATCTCTTGAAGCACCATAGCGTACAAAGTTATGCACCAAGTGCTGGAAAATGGAACTGGAGTATATGGGTGTTTGATGGCCAGCACAGCAGGTGGCAATGGGTCGAAGGGCCTCTTTCTGTGCTTTAAAACTCTGAGTCTATGACTCTGGGACACCCACAATCTTTCAGCTGCATATCTTTGGCACTGTTTCTTTCTCACCTGTGGTCACCACTGTGCGTCTGGTAGCAATCACAAAAACCCATTATCACAAGTCTCTACTTTCAACATTGTTCTGCTCACACATCATTGTGCTTCAGTATTGAAATAAATTCGGTATTTTTAGCGGTACAGCAGAAAGCAACAAAGATGGGGAAACTATGGTGTAAAAACAGCAGTTGCTGGAAAAGCTCAGCAGGTCTGGCAGCATCTGTGAAGAAAAATCAGAGTTAATGTTTCAGGTTAACTCTGATTTTTCTTCACAGCTGCTGCCAGATCTGCTGAGCTTTTCCAGCAACTTCTGTTTTTGTTCCTGATTTACAGCATCCGCAGTTCTCTCGTTTTTTTTTATCCATTACAGCGTATGATTGTTCCTGCCTATTTTCCTCTCCTAGCATATTGCTGAGTCAGTCGGTATACATCTCTCCAGTTCGCAAAATATTTACCTTGAGACACAATGACTCTTTTTAATATTGGTTGCCAAGATAGGAATCTGTACCAATGGAGCTTGCCATTAAAAATGAGCTTCTCTCAAAAATCTCTGCCTTCAAGAGTGTTTGACTCCCAGAGGGCCCATATATATTTTAAGATTTGGTCTGGGGTTTGAAGATATTTCAAGAACGTGCAGGATTCCTCTAGACACAGTGCTGTAGCAAGGACTTGGATTCAGTGCTATAGCAATTGAACGACTTCCTGAGAAGATGGAGCCGCATTATCTCCATATGTTACAGGTGAAAACAAATAATGTGCACTGCTGACATCTGCACTGCAATAAGGCAGTGTGAAGACTCACCAACAGGATGTTACCCAGATTGGAAGGTTTGAGTTATAAGGAGAGGTTGGATAGGCTGGGACCTTTCTCACTGGAGCGTAGGAGACTGAGGGGTGACCTTATATAGGTATATAAAATCATGAAAGGCATAGATAAGGTCGATAGCCAACAGCCTTTCTCCGTGGTAGGGGAGTCTAAAACTAGAGGGCATAGGTTTAAGATGAGAGGGGAGAGATACAAAACAGTCCAGAGAGGCAATTTCTTCGCACAGAGAGTGGTGAGTGTCTGGAACGGGCTGCCAGAGATAGTGTTGGAAGTGAATACAATTTTGTCATTTAAGAAACATTTAGACAGGCACATGGATGCGATCGTATGGAGGGATACGGACCAAACACAGGCTAATGGGATTAGTTTAAATTGTGAAAACTGGGCTGAAGGGCCTGTTTTGGTGCTGTAGGCCTCTAGGACTCTATAACACTGAAACTGCAGTGACTTGGTGTGCTCCATTACCAAATGATGTACAAATATCATTGACTCTGATGGAACACATGAGAATGGCACTATGTCATATCAAAGTAAAATAATGCAATGGTTTGTTTAATGCATTGTGAATCCTGGAATGAGGAGATTCCTGTTCTTCACTTTACAGAAAAAGAAAGCACACAATGCAGGGAAGATAGGGATAAAGGGTAAAATAGCTGCCACTTCTTCCTTGACACCTGTGGACTTCCTTGGAGTAGCAGGCTCTGGTAATTGCCCAACTCTTTGCAGGACTTGCAGGAACCAGAACAAGCCCAGAGAAAGCAGATTGCCTTAATCATTCAATTGTAAAGTAGCAAATATCACATCTGTACTGTCTTATGCAGACCTACCTTCATGGCATGTTCTATAAGTCATGAAAAGTGGCCATGAAGAGGTGGGCTATCATTGTGTCATATTCTCTCCAATCTGCAAGGCCAATGTTGCAGGAATAGTGGCAGGAGGCAGAAGAAACAGTGAAAGCCTCAGAAGTCGATGCCACTCTGAAGATGCATCATCAACATTGTCCGTGAATTCTCCAGCATCCTGATACCTTGCTGGGCCCTCAATAATTTGTTGAATAATGTTTGGCATTTGGTGTGGAACGTGTCACGTGTCAGTAGATAATGGAAGCAGTGAAAGTCCCCTTTGAGAGACAAAGCCATCCTTTATGAAGTTCCGAGATAACAAGATGTGTGGTTGGATGAACACAGCAGGCCAAGCAGCATCAGAGGAGCTGGAAAGCTGACGTTTCGGGTCTGGACCCTTCTTCAGAAAATCGGTTCCGTCACTTTTGGTAATGTGAGAAACATGGCAGTCAATCTTTACTCGGCAAACTCGCACAAACAGCAATATGATAATGGCCAGGTAATCTGTTTTGTTTGTGATGTTGATTGAGGGATGATTATTGGCCAAAATACTAGACATAACACTCCTGCTGTTCTCTGAAACAGTGCCCTGGGATCTGTTACAGCCACAACAACAGGTAGATGAAGCCGCAGTTTAACACCTCATCAGAAAGATGACACCTCTGACAGTGTAAGTGCTCCCTCAGTACTGCAGTGTCAGTCTTTATTTTTACACACAAAGCCTACGATGGGGCTTGATCCTAAAACTTGATCCTGGAACTTTGTGGTAAGGCAGAGAAGGACATTAAGATGGGGAAAGAAGGGAGGGAGAGAGGAAAGGGAGACAGTAAGTGATGAAAAGACAAAAGGCATCAAGCAGAGAAGTCACAAAGTAGGGAAGGTAGGAGGGTTGCTGCTGGAGCAACTGATGATCAGGACACTGTGGAGATCTTTCCCCTTCTTTGTTAAATAGTGCTGTGATTCTTTTATGAGTCATCTCAGAGGGCAGACTGAATTGCAGTTTGTTAGGATTGTTTATGCTTGTGTAGCAAAGTGTAAAATCTGAAACATGATGGTTGGAGTGTGACATATGGGGTGCATTGTACGCGGTGTGACAGCCTGAATGTGGTGTGCACAGCAGGATTCCAGAAGCATATGTGTGATGGACAGTCATAGGATAGACGTACTTTATTTGCTTCTATGAAGAATTGATTGTGGATCCTCTCAAAACTCCCATTACAGAACAAATGATTAAATTAGGAGGGGAGAAATCTTTCTTGATAGTTCATGATGCTAAACTAGCAAAGGAGAACTGAATTTTATTGAACTTATATTTCAGAATGTTTTCTAGCTTTTCAACCTTGATAATGTAGTGCTTCTCTTCAGAATGAGCTAGGGATTGTTGATTAGTTGTTGAGTATCTTTATCTTATTGGTAGAGATAGCGGTGTGGGGTGTTACTATAATCAAGTTATTGTCCAGAGGAGAGGTAATTGTTAAAGAATACCAACAGTAATGTGAAGTTGGTTTAGTGAAGAAACCATTGTGAGAAAGCAAGGCTCGTAGCTCAAGGACACTAACCAATTTGGAAGAAAGAGACAAAAAACAGAAATTGCTGGAAAAGCTCAGCAGGTCTGGCAGCATCTGTGGAGAGAAATCAGAGTTAATATTTTGGGTCCAGTGACCCTTCCCCAGAACCCTGAGAGAGAAGTTGAGAAAGTCAAGAGATTGTGATCAGATGCTCATCCCAATTCGCCTTATTCAATTAGAACAAATAACTCGAGGGTAAACGGCTTGTTTCAAAATGATCATTAGAACACAGAGCAACCTTTACTTCCTGTGGATGATAGTGGGTTCACTGATAAAAGCCAACATCATTCGAACCCAATGGTCTGCTTTCAGGGTCACAAGTGTTTCTCTGAATGAAGATTTATGAGTGAGGATACAACTCTTTGAAGGAGAGATCTGACAGACCTGCTGAGCTTTTCCAGCAATTTCTGTTTTTTGTCTCTTTCTTCCAACTTGGTTAGCGTCCTTGAGCTACGAGCCTTGCTTTTTCACAATAGTTTCTTCACTAAACCAACTTCAGATTACTGTTGGTATTCCTTAACAATGACCTCTCCTCTTCGAAGGAGAGGTCTGATATATTTCTGACTCTGGTCACTAGGAACAGCCATTGCTGCTGCAAAGGACTCCATTGAAGCCCTTTCAAGGATTGATCTTGGTAAGTAGATATCCGATTTTGTGGTATCCTCCTAGATTGCAGAGCAGTGGGAATGACCTGCAGTCTGACCTTGTGAGATCAGCTGAGTTTGCAACATCTTAAACTTCCTGGTAAACCTGAAACTGAATGCTCTGATTTTTCTGTCTCCACTACTGGTGGATGTCTCCAGCCTGCATTGATTTTGACAGCTGCTAAGACATGACAGGAAACATCTATTTCTTTTGAAACATTCAGGGCATTAGTGGTGTGTGTGTGTGTGTGTGATCATTGACCACACAGTTTGGTAGGTCCAAGTTCAAGGCCATGGTGAATTAACTAACCTCAGACAGGATAGCCCTAGCTGTCTTACAATTGGCCTCGGTATGACCGAGGGAGAGCAAGCCAGAGTGCCCTATCCTGAGCACTATCTGCTGACATACACTGAATATTGGATTTCTGTATGAAGCCATATCCACATACTCCTATACACATGGAGCATGTATCATAGAAGCTGGGGCATAGTAATAACTAGAATCCAATGTCAACATTTCTCCAGTTATTTCAGGTCCAGGGAGGTGCAGCAAATTGATCTTTTTAAAATAAAAATGATTCTTTGCTGATCAACTTGATTGGAAAGAAGGATTGAACTCAGATGCAATGTCCATAATCTCTCAAACCCCTTCCCCAAAATCCACTGCATTCACAATTCAAACATTTATGAGATTGGAGGAGGTCATTTGCCCCATTGTATCCATATCAGCTCCAGAAGAGCTATCCAGCTTGAACCCACTTTGCAGTCTTTACAATCCGTTACAAAAAAAACTGAAAACAATACAAAGGTGTTGGAATAAAGAAAAACAGAAAAATAAGCAAAGAAACCTAAACATTTATGGCATTCAGTGGGAAACGGTGAAACCCTTCCAAATGTCAAAACCCCTTTGCAGCTCACCTGTTTTCTTTGTTCCTATCCATCAAATTAAATTGCTTCCTGAGCCACCTGAAAGGAGAAGACAGAGCCAATGTTAGTCAGTATCAGACGAATACAGTTGTCTTGTGGTTGTACTTGATTTGCACACCACTTCCAGTATATTGTGCAAAAGTCTACTTCTACAAAATATATCTTGTGGCTCTAACTTCTTCTGGTGGCTAAAATGTTCAGATGAAGTTCCTAAGTATAATGAAGTACTTAAACTTCCAACATTCACTGCTTGTCAGTTAAAACTGTCCCTCACAAATTGTTGACAATTTCAAAAACCTGGCACATTACAGCGTGGCTCCCAACAGAACCTAACCTCCATTATTAGAAGTACAAGGATTATTTCTTCTGAGGAAGGGTCACCGGACCCGAAACGTTAACTCTATTTTCTCCTTCACAGATGCTGCCAGACCTGCTGAGCTTTCTCAGTAATTTGATTTTTGTTCCTGATTTACAGCATCCGCAGTTCTTTTGGTTTTTATATCTTACCTTTCTACCTGAAGGGGTGTAGAAGACTTCTGGGTGTCCTGAACCAGCCAGTTCAATCCTGTTATCCATAAATTAATATCGTCTTCATTGAATGCTGTAGACAAAGAAAATCACCATCATTATAAAGTACTTTGAAAAGATTTATTTCATTTAAATTTATTTTTGTGACTTGTGCATTAGAAGTGAAAATTTAGGGCAGACAATTGCACTTCAAGCATCATTTGCCGCAGCCAGCATTCCAAGTCATAAAATAAAGGATACCCAGAGGATCGTCCTCTACTGCACTGTAATTACATATCCCAACCTCTGACTAAGAACAGTTCTTCTCACCAGTAGGATATCTCTCAATTTCCTTCAGTAGCTATCTTGTATTGGAAATTGACAATTTAGTGTATTACATAAAGGTCAAGCCACTTCAGTGAGCAACAGCGAAAGGTTGTTTTTGAGACAGAACTCACATACAGGACAGACTGGGTAAGGACAGTAAGTTTACTTTCTTAAAGGGCATGTATGAACCAGCTGGCTTTTTGTAAAAGCTGATAGCTTAATAGACATTGTAACTGATACCAGAGTTTATTTCTATATTTTTGTTTTTTTTTAACTTACTGTGTGCAAAGGCAATGTAAAGAATCAACCAGCTGGCTCTGACCTGATCCACATAATGATCTCTCAACAGACATGTGTATTTTCTTATTTCTCCAAATTCAAAAGGATTGTAAAAAGTGGTTAACCCAATTGCACTACAAAATGATTAGAAAATGTAATATAAACTGATGCAATACAGGAATTTACAATTATGCATTGCTTTTAAGCTATTAAATGTCCCGCAGCACTTCAGAGGAATCTAATCACATTAAAACTGACAAGTGGCTGAGGAAAGACATACAAGGAAAGGTAACCTAAGACTGACAAGTAAGACTGATATAAGGAGTTTTGTTGGGGGGCGGTGGAGGGGAATAGATAGAGAGGTGAAAACCTGGAAAGGTCTAGGGAGGAAATGGGGGGGTGGCAAGGTAGTTCAGTAGTTAGCACTGCTGCCTCAGAGCACCAGGGACCTAGGTTTGATTTTGGTCTTGGGCGACTGTCTGTGTGGAGTTTGCACATTCTCCCCGTGTCTGCATGGGTTTCCTCCGGGTGCTCCAGTTTCCTCCCACAATCTAAACATGTGCAGGTTAGGTGGATTGGCCATGGGAAATGCAGCTTTACAGGGATAGGTTAGGGGGGTGAGTCTGTGTGGGATGTTTTTCAGACAGTCAGTGTGGACTTGTTGGGCTGTATGGCCTGTTTCAAAACTGTAGTGATTCTATATAAAAAAATAGAAATTTCAGAACTTGAAGAGTCTAGACACCTGAAGGCATGCAACCAGTTGTAGACAAAGGAGGCGAAGAGAGCACAAAAGAATAGTGTGGGAGGAAAGCAGGAATCCCAGACAAGTTTTAGGTGTACAAGAGGTTTCTGAGGTATGGATGGGTGAGACCTTGGATGGAGTCAATGATGGCAATGAGAATTTTTAACAATGAAGCATTGGTGGACCAGGGACCAAAAAAGTTATGCAAATCAGGAGGCAGTGACTGAACAAAATTGGTGCAAGCTGTTACAATATAAAGCAAGTTTTTAGGTTCTGCATTCAGCACAAATTGGTTAGTATGCTGAGGGAGACCCCTTTTTGTTGTGTGGTTTTCTGTTCACATCCGTGTGTCTTGGTTCAAGGTAGACTGATTGACGAGAAGGCAAAGTCAAAAACTGAATTCAGGCTTGGGTTTCTTTGTAACACTGTTTACTATATATTAAGTCTAAATACTACAATGCATGGTATTCAGAGAAAAAAAAAAGGCTCTAATCTTACAGTAATATTTTTGAAAGACTATTCCATGAACCCTGCACCCAAATCTAGTTGGTCCACATGCTTCTCTGCGCATGTTTTGAATATTCACATGGCTAGACATGAGCATTCTACTTCGTTTTCTACGTTTCTTGTTTCTGTCTTAACTTTGCTCACACTGTGCTATTTATGCCCAGTGAGAAGCAACTCCATGACATCAGTCCTAAAGCCCGAGCAAAACAAATCTTTCTCCAGAACAGGGTACAGCTGTCCTACGAACATTCAGTGTTTTATATGGCTAAAATATGTCTCAAAAGTAGAAAAGTATCACAGACTGATACACCCTTCACATCTATTCACTAATAATAAATTCATACAGTGCAAATAGTGAAATTCTATTAAGAACTGTATTGTATATATGGCCTTTCAAAAGATGTTTGGCAAATTACCATAAAATAGACTTAGCAGCAAAAATAAAGGTTTGGGATTAAAGATACGGCAGCAGCACAGATATAAAGCTGATTATAGGGCAAAAAAGCAGAGGATAGAGGTAAACAGTTACTTTTCAGTGGAATTCAGTGGTGTTATCCCAGGAGTTAGCATTAAGATCACTGCTCTTTTTCAGCAATGTAAGGGATCCGGACATGTATACAAAGAGCATTATTTTAAAGTTACAGATTACTCTAAACTCAGAAATGAAGAAATACAATACAAAGAAATATGAAGTTATATGTTTTGGTATGGACAATGAAGAGTGACAATATGAATTAAATAACATAATTTTAAAGGGCCAGCAGGACTAAGCCAGCTTTGAAGCTTGGACATAAGTCTTTGACGAGGCTGAATTAGTTGAGAAGGCGATTAAAAAAAAACTATATGTGATTTTTGGTTTTATTAATAGAGGGACAGAGTTTAAAAAAAAACATGTACCAGCTGTTTAGAAAATACTGGGTAGGCATCCACTGTTCAACCCACACACTATAAGTTGTGAAGAATGTTAGAAAGGATGCTGAAGAGATTTACTAGAAATGTATCAGTGTTAAGGCTTCAGTAATTTGAGACAGTGGAGATGCTGGATTGCCGTCTTTAATGAAGAAACGACTAAAAGCAGATTTGATTGAGCTATTCAGTAACACAATTTTGATCGAGTAAAGAAAGAGAATCTGTTACCAGATCAGAAAGGTAAATAACCAGAAGCTGCAGGTACAAAATGATTCAGAAAGGATCAGAGATGACCTAATACTTTGCCATGGTGATCTGGAATGTGATTCAGAGAGTGCCAGAAGCATATTCAGCTTAATACTCAAAGATAACTGGATGAATATTTGAACAAAGAAACATTTAGGTGGCTACAAGGAAGGGGTGTAGAACTAATTGGATGGCTCTGCCAAAGAGTTGGCACAGGAATGATCAACCAATTATGATCCTTATACACCATCATTTTGTGATTCATAGATTTGAGCCTGATCAACTCTCAGAACTGTTCTGCATTCAACATGAAAAGTAGTCACTGTTTTAACATAAGCAATGCCGGCAGTAATATTTCCACAGAGCACTAACGACAGAAATGACCAGTCAGCTTTTTTTTTGGTTAGGCTTTTGTTGCTGCATCAAAATCCTGGAACTCACTCCCTACCAGCATTGTGGGTAAATAGCCTGCAGCATTTCAGGGAGGGATGGGCACTAAATGCTGCTCCAGTCAGAAACACCCATACCCTATTAATGACCAAAATAACAGTTGATATATTGGAATATCGAAAGGTAAAGAGAAAAGGTCCTGCAGTCCACTTGGCTGGTTTATAAAACGTAATGCTTTCGAAACATTGAAACTTGTTCCATTCTTTGTTACATTTTTCTACATTAACTTACACTGCTTCTCTGAGGGGAGGGGTGCAGGGATGGCCATTAATAGTTAAATATAAACTTTTTGTGATTTCCCCTCTGTTCTGTGTGTGTCTGTGTCTCTGGTGACTCCAGAATTTATGGAAATCTTAAACTTATTATAATTTATTTTACCTATCCCCTTCAAGATCAGATCATAAATTTGTCTCATGTGATCTCTTTTCTCAAGAAGTAAACAATCATGGATTCCTTGAGCTCTTCTCATAGCTACTAAATCTGTGGCTGGATATCTGTTTTATAATCTGTCTTGTGTTGTCTCCAATACTTGGACACTTTGCTAAGGCATAGAGATCAGACCTGAAGAGTCCCTCTATTTCTGGTAATTTGAAGCCATTAAAAAGTAGGATGAAGAACAACTTAACTTAAGAAACGTAAACAGCACAAACAAAAAGTGGGGATTTAGTGCAAATATCTCAATCAGATCATTTAAATAAGGAAATCTGAATTCAAAGTAGACCGTGGTTAGATATTCTCGTTCTAGCCACTGCCATGGGTGAAGGGGCAATAATGGCAGTGTCTTCCTTATTAATGCACAGGATTTGTATGATCCCACTTTCTCCTCAATCTGGAATTTCACATTCAGACACCAAAAATAAATCCTGGCTATCTCCTTTGTTTGCACCACACTAGGGTACCCTGATATACTTGTTCCAGCACCTTTCCTCTTAATAGGGGAGGAATAACAACTTTCATTCCCCACATTAAACACCCATCTGATAATGACGACTCCCACTTCTTGGACAGATAAGATTGTAATTCTAGGTGGTTTCCATGACTAATCCTCCCTCCCAGGACTAAGTCCACCACTCGGCTGAAAGCCAGATTGTTCCAGGTACGTTCCACACCTGATTCACTGACACTGGCACCTTGTAATCCTGGGAAAAGTACATAATTTTCAGGTTCCAGTTGAGAATATCTTTATTCCACAGTAGTGGCAGCCTTGACAGGACATCTGCATTGCCGGGCTTCTCTGCCTGTCAATATTTGATCTCATGTGAGTAGGGTGATGGAGCCCATTCACTGGTGGTTACTGGTTCAAAAGCTCCCAGATTCACCAGCTGTTCCAGTTCTGCCTCCACTTTAGGCCAGTTGGAGAGCAGTACCGGACGTGCCTTCAGACTGCCAGGGTGAGCCTCTGGTTTCAGCTGAAATTTCATTTCGAGGCCTTTCATTTCCCCCAGCATTCCTTTGAAGGCATCTTTGTACTTGTCCAGGATCTCTTGCACACTCATGATTGAGTCTGCCAGCCTATTATCCACACCCCAGTTCAACTTTAATTTTTGTAACCGGTAGCATCCGAATAATCCTGGATATTCGCCTTTTACTTTGTAAAGTGGCAATTCTGCATATTGGTCCCTGAATTGCACTTTCACCAGTACATAGACATTTAGGGGCACCACTTGTTCCATGTCTGTCCATAGTATATGATCTTCCAAGCTTCAATGATAATGCCCTCAACTTCTCCCTATGGATCGATTCCGGAATCAGAGACACTGCTGCCCCTGTATCCACTTTATCTTTACCATCTTTCCCTCTAACTTGGGAAGAACCCAGAAACAAACGGCTTCACCCCATACCAACAGGATGTTTAACCAGAACTCTGCTTACTCTGAGCCGTCTCCTTCTCCCACAGACCCGGCTGACTCCCTGTCTCCTCTCTAGGTGGTGGCATATACCTTACGCCATGTCCTCAGGGCTGTTTCTTTCTGAATCCCTTTCTCTTGTTTCGCTTGTACCCGGAAATTTTGGGCAATATAACCCATTCGCTTACACCTGCGGCACTGGGCTTCTCAAGTCCAACATACTGACTCCTTGTGGCCACTCTTGGCTTATTGGTGGCACACTACAGTTGGTACTGCACTCCAGTGAGTTTCCACGACTTGATGCACTTGGGCGTTGTCCGCCAACTGTGTTGCTTCGCTAACGGTGAACTCCATCAAGGTAGCAATTTCGAAGGCAGCCTTCAAATCCATGTCTCCCCTTATTCATAGCTTCCATTGGATGGCTTTGTGTCAGAGGCCACAAACCAAACAGTCCTGCAAGGCAGAACCCTCCGAATTCATAATGTTCTGCAAACCTCTTTAAGGTGGCTATAAATTGAACAATGGTCTCTCCTTCATGCTGCATCCACTTGTGAAAATGGAAATGTTCCATGATCATCGGTGACTTGAGTGCGAAATAATTTCCGAACACTTGGCACAGTTCTTGGAATGTCTTCTCTGCAGGTTTCTCTGGTCGTACCAGACTCCTTAGAATTACAAAGGTCTTGCTCCTGAAGTAACTTTAAAAAAACTTGCACAATAATGTCCTCATTTTGTCCACCTTTAAGAAAAAATTAAAGCGCCTTGTGTCTAAAGTCTAAATTTTCCCACTCTTCATCAAATGGTCCCATTAACCCAAACTGGCATGCCATTTTGTCTTCCCGTCACTTGAGTCCAGTAACCATTCGCAGATTGAGTCCTCTTGGTGAATGCTCCCGTGTCGGCTGTTCCCCCACCAGATGTATTAGCCTACCATTCCTTCCTGGCGTTGCCTGCAGAATGAGTCCCTTTGTGACCACTTCCTTCAATGTTACCTCCTTAATCCCACACCGTTTCCAAAGTTCGGGCAACATCTCCAGGCTCATCGCCAACTGTAATGCTGGTGCTTCCGTTATCTCCCAGGTCGTCAAATGGCAAATTTGAACAGGAACACTTTATTGACGCTGCTCATACTTCCACAACAGGTTCTAGACTTGACCCAAGTTCCACCCCTCCAGGTCAACTGACCAGCTCTTTTAAAGGGGCGTATCCTCACCTTCATAGATAACACATCCCAATCAGACTACTTCTGCAGGCCAGTCTATTGAAGTGCTTATCTGAGTCCTCTGAAACAGAACTTGTGTGTGATCTCACTGTCCTATAATGTGGCATTTGTCTTACACATTTCCCATGTTCTGGTTGCAGGCCAGTTATGCCCACTGCCTTCCAACTTGCAGGTTCTGTCTCTAAGCTATCTGTTAAAATATACAGAATGACAATATCTGAGCTGAAGGCTTTGAGTGTGTGAGTGATTAACAGTGTTTATTCATTACCACTATCTTCTTGCTTTTCCACCTCTTTCTTGAAAATACCAGCTGACCGGGTTTAATTTCAGAACATCCTAAGGAGAAAGAATGTCTGTGATGGAGAAAATGGGAGATAGAGAGTGAGTGTGAATGTCGGAATGTGTAAATAAGTAAGTGTGAGTGAGAGAAAACATTGAGATTGCGAGTGAGCTAGACATGCACACAACATACAGGCATACCAAATGTATCCATATATCCGACTAAATTTTTTTTATTGCTCCAATTGAAATGGGAAGTGTTGCTCACCAATTCTCGTGTCATCTGTGCAGAAAGAGATAGAAATCTGTGTATCTTCATCAGAACTAATGCAGATTGTGGACCTGACACATCCACTCTGTTTCTCTGTCCATAGACACTGCCTGACCTGCTGAGTATTTCCAGCTTTTTCTGCTTCTATTTCAGATTTCCACCATCTGCAGTATTTTAGTTTCCTACTTACTCAATGTTGGCCATTGATAAGATTTGGTAGCTTCAATGTGAAATGTGAAACTATCTATCTCTCAATGTAAAATGTAATTTTTCTGTTATCAATGCCAAAGTCTTTTGGGCTTTGCTTTAAAGAAATGAAGCTGGCTGCATTATATGAATGACCAAGTTGTGTATAATTGTCTGACAAAGCAGTGACTGTAAAAAATATCATACTGAAATCTAAACTTTTGCTGGACTTTATAGGCAAAGTTACAGTGTACCAAAGGCAAGAAGTTTTATTCCAAACCTATATAAAATATTTCAACACCATTTTGAGCTCTGCTTGGATTTTATTGTCTATATATTGCATTGGGCCACGGTCAAAGAAGCAGTACAGGTTGCAATGATATGATTACCCTTTTATTTAAAAAAAAACAAAGTACAAAAGCCAAGTTTTGCTAAACTAATATAAAACAATTTTACACCACTGGTGCTATGATTCCCAGTCATGAGTACCTGAAAGATACAACAGCAAGAGTTAAAGCAAGAGGTTGGTGGGTTGGGGCGGGGGAAGGGTAGTCAAGGGCTT